CCCCCCCCCCCTCTGCATCAAGTTGTCGTCTGTAGATTACGTATCACCGCTGAAGGCAACCCATCGGATGTAGGAAGATGATCTCTCACAAAGACCTTTCGATGGTCACCAAAATCAACAGTGATGTCGCCGCCGCTGGTCGGAGTGGCCATACATTGCCGTCACAGCCGCCGGATATGAGGAAGCCGAATCCGCAAAAATAACCAGTCCAGCCGGCATCCACGATGACGCGACTATCCCAGCACAACCATGCAGCAATCGAGCTCCACCACACCGTTGTACGCCGGCGGCAGCCGAGGCCCCTGGTCATCACTGTCATGCCAGTCCAGATCTGAACCCCGATGGCGGCAGGGACCATGTCCACGCGGCTGGAAGTTGAGGCCGGAATGCGCCAAGGCCCGGGAAGAGTCGCGGAAGGACGCCCAGCCAGGACGGCGGCGACGGCCCGAGCCATGCACCAGCGGCAAGATCCAATCGAGCTAAGTCTTTGGAGGAGGTGACGCGCGTGTTGGAGAGCTCCCGCCGCCGCCGACCACCGCGAGGGGCTTTGCCCCGGTGCCACCGTCCAGCGGCGGCGAGGGGGAGAGGAGGCGGAGGAGGCTTAGTACAGCAGCAGCGGTTGTGCCGCCCGAGTCGCCCGCTGGACGACGCGGGGGCTTTATGTCTATCTATCTATGGTTACTTATTAAAGGTGCTACAATTCATAGGCCAGACTACTATTTCTTATGAGGCATATTCTATCGCAAAATCTATAATCCCCAGAGGGATACCAGCAACTACTTAATGCAGTTCCTGAACCGTAGTGGTGTGTGTGTAGCACGCACATGTACTACTTCAGTACCGATGTCTGTCTTGCAATCGTGTGTTTGCTCTTCTTGTTACACATGCCATTTTGTTTATTGCGAATTTGATGTTCAGCATTGCTGGTGTCAGTTAGCAATGTTTGATACCAGCATTTGCTTAGGCCCTTATGAATGGATAAACAAGCAGTAGTAAACTCAGTAGTACAAAACCTATAGTATCGATTTGTGGCTGATGTATGATTGTTTCTGTTGCGAGGAGCAAGTGAAAATACAACTTGATTTTCAAAGCCGACTCTCGTAAATAGGCGGACAAAAGGATGTTATATGATGGGAGTTGCACATAGAACAAGTAGATGTGCCTAGGTGGACACACCTTTAATTTCACAATAACAAACAAATCACCGGATTATAGTACATCTAAAACTTTAATTTCTTTTCATTGTGGTCTCAAAACAAGCGCAAACAAGTCAGTCATGGCGCCGATACTGCGCAACACCAGTTGCCTGTTGGTCTTGGCGCTGAAGCTTTAATTTGCTCATTGTGATCTCAAGAATTGTGCCAACAAGTTGGATGCGGCGCCAATTCTGCACCGGCACGAGCTGCCTGTAGGTGTTGGTGCTGAAGCTGAATGAAAACGATAAATGCAAGTGTTTGTTGTTCCCTGCAAGCAAGGTAAACTGCATCAAAGGTTTTTCGGATAGATGGAAGATAGGGAAAGCACAAAGAGCATCAGAGAGGACCTACCGTTTCTCTTGTATCTCCTTTGGGAATGCCTTCTGAGATCACTTGGCCAGCACTACTAGGCAACAAGCTACCGCCATTATTACTGTTGCTAGCTGTTGTAACTGGTCTCACCACCGCTACCTGGAGAAATCAACCAACCAAAAGTACTTTGCGATAGCTAGATTTGTACAGTCACATGGAGCAGCAATAAAAATCATGTACAATCATGCATCATAATTGCTAATCAAGAAAAAATTATTGGAAATGGTCAAGGACAACAAGACAAGTCGACATTTGGGCTTCAGGGCCACTGAGCATACCATGTACATAAATACCCCGTGCCAAAAAACAGTAAAGATGAAATATAATCTTGAGAACATATAGGCTGGAAAATGCCAAAAAATATTCCTCAAAAATGCTCAAATGCCATGTGTAATCGCCAAGCAAAATAAGTTTGGGTCGATAGTCACTTTATTTATAGCTGCGGCCCAAGTGAAAATCCTCTTTGGCTTGAATTTTTGACTTTCCCTTCTCTGTGAATAGAATGTTTCTGCATTTCTTGTATAAATGACAGAGTCAATTTCACTTTCCCCTCTATGAAAACAGGGTTGCTCCCTCCTCCTTTTTCCGGACTTGGGACCGGCTATACAATTTTAAGTATTACCTTAAAATGACATAGGCGGAGTTCCACCCCCCGAACCCCAACCCACACAAACACACCTTAAAGATAACTGAAAAAAACTAATGCCACCAGTCCCATCCTCGACCCCACAAAAGCAGAAATAAGTAAAGTTAAAAAACACAATTTTTATTTTTTATATTCTTCAATTAACTAAGAAAAAGGCAATACAATGTACCAACACTACCTTTTTTTTTCTTTCTAAGTCTTTTTTTTTAAAGTGACTCTTTCGTTATACAACGAACAAAACCGCTAATGCTACATGAAAAAAAAACTTTAACAAAATACTTCTGTAATGATGAAAGCAAAGAAACATTTTTTGCCTTGATGGACAAAGTAAGCCCACCAATACTTCCTTTCAACTGGCAACGAGATTGTAGAAAGCATCATAGGTACAACCAACCTGGAAATAACGGGCAGCAAAACAATTAATAGTGGTTATGTTAATAGCTAGACAAGATATATGCATGGATCGATGTGTGTACATGAGCTATGAATTGTTTAGACAAGATATTTGGTAACCGATGAAAAATAAGTCTGAACTTGACGCAGTACAGATCTTTCGGACATGTAAATAGAGGATATATTGAAACATAATTTCAAAACAATAGCTTAATTTTGGTAAATGTAATAAGAATAAATGAAGTGACATTCTTTTCATGTAAAAACATACAGAAATGGCGTTGTGTGCGTGCATGTGCATTGAAATGGAGAAGAGAGACTGACATGTATACATACGTACAGTTAAGCATGATTGAAGGAAAGGAAAAAGGTTCCTGGTTTACTCGCCGTAACCATCGCATCCTCCTCTACAGTGGCATCAGATGTCTGGTCCACCACATCATCGTTCCACTGGAGACACGAGAAATCAAGAATGTGAAATAAACACTATGTACATGTATGTAACAAGAGGTAGTAGTTAATCTGAGTTGCCAGCTGTACATGTACCTCTTGGTCAGTAACTGAAACCTCCTCCTCAGATCCTTCATATTCATCTTCGGCATACTGTAATTAAGAAAGGCAAGCAGACATGGAATTATTTGTTTATTACAGGAAATACTTGAGATGGAATGATAATTTATTTGGGAATTACAGATCGGGATAACAGTATGTGTAACAGCTAGTGCGCATACACATACCTCTTCTTCCTCATCTGTAGAGGACACTTCTATGGAAATAATGGGAATGAAACAAAAAGGAAATATAAATAGGAAGGTAGGTACCTTGAGGTAGGATGTTATTTTGAGCTTGGGACGGTTGGGGTGGCTCTCTGCGGCGTGCCTTCTGGCTGCCTCCGCTGCTTCTAGCTCCTCAATACTACAGATGTTCTCATAGTGGAGTGTGTAGGTAACTTCCTTGAGAAACGGCATATTTCCTGCCAAGCCTACGTCATTTCCCACGCTAGCATAGCATCTCAATTCTTCAAGCATCGGCAATGATCCCTCTCCACAAACGATCTCTATGTCTACCATGAGATATGTCAGGCTCAGGAACTCATGGCAACCAACAGTATATGATAGGGTGTCATTGATTTGATTTGATAAGTGGAGGAAACGGAGTGAAGACATCCTCCCGAGGATCGGCAGATCCCGTGCTTCCAACATTTTCACTTTGAAGCATAGGTAGGAAATGTGCGGAACACAAGTTGAATTCATCCACGATGGACGCCTGGGTAAAGTCATGCAACGCAGTGCCAACTGACGGATCTCTAAAGGGGGAGCCCACTCTTCCCAGCCATCAGCTGCAACTGTCTCAAACAGTTTAGACTTGATCTTGAGAGTCTGGATTCTACACAGGTTGCACACAGACTTGATGAGGTCCCTAAGCATACACTTGTCCATTTCATCAACATGGATTTCAAGCATTCTCAGTTGTGCCAGCTTTCCCAACTCCATGGTGAAGTCCGGGGACTTGTCCACATGGTGTAGCACCAACTCTTCTAGGGATTTCAGCTTCCCTATCCTTCCCATCATCCTTGTGCCCTTAGAAGCACGCAGACACATCAGCTTGGTTAGCTCACCGATAGACGAAGGTAATTCTTTTATGCCTGTCCACTCTGTATTTAGTGTCTGCAATAACTTGAGATGATGCCCTAAGTCACATGGGAGCTCGGTAACATGTGTGCCTGCCAGTCCTACATACCTCAACTGAACCAACTTCGCAAGATGCTCCAAATGATAACTTCCTATGGGAAAATCACAATTCTCGAGGACTAGTACTCTTAATACTTTAAAACTCAAAAGAGGGGGAAGAACACCATCAGAAAAATAGATAGCATTAAATGACCTAACATGTCCCATATTGCTATGATTGGCAGTTCCATCATGGATGGCTAATCTGCGAGCAATGCTTCTTGCGTTGAGTGAACATGTGTTCTGTTGCATCTTATCTATTGTTGTAACAAAGTTTACTTCGCCTGATAGGGTGCGGATGAGATCGAGCACAATTTCATGAACACGACAACAATCAAGCATGTGTATGTTGTCTGGCTTTATGGACTGGATCATACTTCTATTTATAAGATCATTATAGTAGCTTTGTCCCAGCTCAAATGCGCCAATCCCTTGTTTAATAGGTATAAAACCTTCTGCCACCCATTTCCATATCACTGAGTTCTTTCCAATCCAATAGTCTTCTGGATACATGCTTAGATGCAACAAACAAGTCTTTAAATGGAAAGGTAGGTCATAATAGCTAAATGACACTATTTTTCTTGTGTTCTGAATAGCTTCATTATCTTCATGACCAAAACCAATAGAGTCAAACACCTTATGCCATTCATCTTTACGTTTATTAACAAGCAAGCTAGCTAACGTAATGATGGACAACGGCACACCACCACATTTTCTATAAAAAATATCTGACAGTTCGACCAAGTGAACATCATGACTTATGCCTTCACCACCAAATATTCTTCTATGGAACAGTTTTTTGGAGTTATCATCAGAAAGTGGTTTTATATTGTAAACACCACCAATTTTTTTGGCAACTTCATGAATACGAGTAGTTGTGATTATTCTACTTCCAGAATTACTATCCACCAATGCACATTTAATAATTTCCCATGTTGGTACATCCCAAATGTCATCAACCACAATTAGGTACCTATTTTTATGAGGGGAATTGAATTAGTAAAACTACAAAACATATATCATTTACATTTGAATAGGAAGCATGTCAACCCACAGGATCCAAAAACTAAATCAAGCACTATACAGTAGTGTACTAATGCCGTGCTTTAATAGAAGTTCAGAATTTGTGCATGAGTTTAGAAATATATATAGATCGCTTAAAAGACAAAACTAAAATATTTATTCACTTCTTAATGAAGAAATATGCTCGGCTTATGGACTATTGAAAGGTTTACTCCTTACATTCCCAATAGACAATGTTTAGATTTCATCCGGTCCCGAATGAATGAAATTCAATCTTTCATAAATGTACAATTATATAAGTAACTAACAACAAAAAGTATTGAATATATTTTCATGACAATGCAATGGTATAATTTTTATCTAACACATATAAATAATTTATAATTAGTTAGATGCCAAATATTAAACAATTTAGTCAGTACTACATTTCATCATTGATGGTTTTTTACTTCTTGCCAGTAACTGGTTTAGCCATAAGTGTTGTGTTTTTAGTTGGATTGTGAAAGGTATAATTTACACGCCTGTCAATGATAGGTTTACCATTTCTTGCGGGTAACGCAGTGGTAGTGATAGATAGATTTCGATGACCGATATATTGGCATCCCTGGTGGGCTATACATAAGAAATGGACCATTCAAGTATCCCTTTAGTAATAGGTTTGATATCACGGGATAGTCTTTTTGAACACATCACTTAGGGAGCGACTAACTCTCAACTGACATACTTGATCCCTCTCCCTACTCCTGTAAAGCAGTTCTACTTGGCCCAAGGCTTCTCTTTTGTTATCTAGGCCAACAATTTTGTTTGAACTTGTGATAATGGTGCCAATAATAGTTTTAGCTTTTACCAAGCACTAGATAAGGAGGAGCCCCGACTTAATTAAAAAAATACAAGAAGAATCGTATATAAGGAAGATAAATGAAAAACGGTTTTAGAATCTATAAAGATGTATACAACTTTTAAAACAACAATGCACAAAGAGTATTTTATTAAAGTTTTTAAAAACAATATTGGCAATATACTAACAACCAGTTGCATGTTTTCTGATTTCACACTGCTGAAATGAAAATGTGGAACTTAATAGTTTCCAAAATACATAGATATATAATTTTGACCCATTACGTAGGTCACATTTGGATTAGGTTTTCCATACAATGAATAAGTGAGTAGTTTATGCAATAATATGACAACCTAAAGCAACAAAAAAACTATCACAACTTAAGGAAAAAATGGTATTGACTAGTATAGGATGGGAGTAATGCTTACCTCTTGTCCATGAGGAATTCTTGCAATTGGTCGATCAGTTGTCTTTCATCCATTTTTGATTCAGTGATATACTTATACTTTTGCTTGTCAAGTTCATGGAGGATGTCCCTGAAGACTTTCTTGTTGTCGGGATTCCGACCGACAATAACAAAACTTCCACAATCAAATTCCTTCTTAAGATTGTCATATATTGCCTTAACAAGAGTTGTCTTGCCCAGTCCTCCTAATCCAACAACAGAAATAGTCTTGAGCTGTTGCTGGGCCACATCATCGCTCTTGGACAACCTCTTTGTTAGCTCGTCGATAGCCTCGTCGATGCCGACAAGGTTAGATACTTTGTTGTACAGAGTTAAGAGGCGGGGATCAACCTTTGTTGCAACACTTACATCACTGATAACATCTTTGTATCTACCGTACCTCTCCTTCACCTCTTTAACTTGGATCTTGACGTCTTTGATGTTGTTGGCTATGTCCCGGCGAAGTTTGAGATTGGTGACCTTGCTCTTAGTCTCCTTGATGAACCCCAAGAAGGTGTTTGGCCTGGTTGGATCAAGACCCACCAAACGCACCATGAAGGAGTCGAGGCTGTCCTCGATGGCAAATGATAGCTCCCTGACGTCGTTGGCCCAAATCTTGACCACGGGATCAAGATCTTCCAGTGGCACATTGGACACCTTCACAAGTGCTGCTTGTATCACCATGAGCTCCTCCCTGAGGTCCTTGACCCCCCGCTTCACACTCTTCTGCAGGTTGTACTCCTCAATGAGCAGCTCCCCCAGCTTGGGGAGGAGAGAGCTCATCGCCCCCGTGGCGAACTCCATGGTCGACCCTCACGCTCTACCTCTCGCACTTTTGCTAGCCTGCTGGATCCTCTTCTCACTTTTTTACACTCCCTCAGTTTCAATCTCCTTTCAGAAGCTCTTTCTTGCTGGCCTTGGCTAGGTTGCTACCGCTTGTATGAATATATGGACTACTACTCTACTAGCTAGCCAGTTTGATTGGCTTTGAGCATCTTTCCACATGGGACTGCAAAGTTTCTGTAGGTACATGCAAAGTTTCACACCAGGCTGGCCCTTCGTTTTTAAATACCAACGACGCTGAATCAGTCTGCAGCCGGCTTGGCTTGTGTCGACCTACTTTTATAGATGGAGCTGTTGTACGAAATATTACTTTAGTCATTAGAAGGTTAGCTGTAAATTTGGCCGGCCGGCTCAAGACATTAAGTTAGCTGCAACTTGGCTTAGTAACATGGGAGGAACAAGGATGGTGATAAGAGTGGGTATGATACCAAACATAAAACTTAATTAGCAGCTAACATACCAAGTTTTTTTAGTAGCAATCTGCGTCTTTGGGGTCAAGAGAGCTAATTGGGTTGGGGCAAGTGGGGGAGAGCTGGTACGTTTGAACAGATCGGAGCAAAGTTTGTAGGTTAGTGCCAATCAAATAACTTTCATTCAGATGGTATACAGTTAAATCAAAATGCAAAATTAGTTAATTGTTTGTATTCAATAATGTAGCAGCTAAGACGCACAAGTAATTGGTCAATATATACAATCAAATTTTGTGCATCTACTATATGAAATAGGGCATGTGTTCGGACATACTCCCTTTGTACTAAAGTTGAGACACTTATATTCGGATGGAGGGAGTACCTGTCACTTCACTGGCCATATGATGGAATGCAAATTAAAATTAAGTTTGGAGATAGTCTTGTATATGAATGACGACCTTTTAGGGCCATTGATTGCAACCGCCAGAAATCATACTTTATTTCTTCCGGTATATGCAACCTCGTAAATTTCCTGGATGCTTCGTCCATACATATTATATGTATAGCCCTGTTGATCTGGCTGGTGTAGTGCATTGCATGCATACATTTGGTCAAATTTCTCTATTCATTTTAGATGGCACATTTAAGCAATGCCAACTTGATCTAGAAAGCTTCGACTTGCTGGAGCATCCAACCCATCGTGTCTCATCTGCCTAGCTACCATGAATAGTTCGTTCTTATAGTTAATTTAACAATGAATAGTTCGTTCTCTTAGTTCTTTTTTTATGCAAGAGTTTTATTTTTTTGACGGGAAGGGATACTTTATTAACCAAATAAGGGTTACATCATCAACTGAAAATTTAACAAGAAAATCAGGGTGCATCCGCCCAGACAGATGGGTTGTTCGCATGTCCCCATCTTGCTAGTTCATGAGCTACTACATTCGACTCTATATACAGTGCTCAATAGTAACCTTCCCGGATTCACTCAAAATACTGCAACAATCATCTAACACCTGTGCTGCTACAATGGAGTGTCCTTCACTGTGATTCATAGGGTCCACCACTGTACTATTGTCCATTCTCACCACCAGATTAGACCATCCAATACTTCGGGCTAATTTTAATTCATCAAACAATGCAACTACTTCGGCCGAGACCACATCAGCTATGTGTTCCAGCCTTTTCATAGAATCTGTAATAAAACGACCTCGATGATCCCGTACAATTGTATCACACACACCTGTATTGTCACCAACAGAAAACGATGCATCAACGTTCGGAACCTGCTACCCCGCAAGTATCTGTTCGCACACAAAAATGTCACCGTGTACCCCCAACGCCGAGGGTGATGCACCGCAGCTCATGTCGAAGGAGACCCGTCCGGAACTGCGGTACGCAAGCAATCCGGCATGCGCTTTTGTACACCCGAAGCCCCACACGCCCGGGAGGGACCCCGTCTGGGCGCGCGGCGGCTATGGGCTGCCCTATGTCGACCTGACCGCCCCTAGAGCCTCATGGATTCGCAGCACTCCATTGTTGAAAAACGACGAAGGACGAGAAGAAAAATACAACGGTAGGGGGTAGACGAACACGAAAGAGTAGTAGATGTGTTTGTTCGATTGTGTGTTGTTCAATCAACCGTCACCTCTTAGGTATATAAGAGGCGGATGGACTCCCCGTACAAGAAAAGGACACCAAATCACGTCCAAATCATTCCAACATTAACCGAACTCGTATTTAGGTATGTCAGGAACATCGGTTCGGTTTTTAGGTCCCATAGGCCACAAACGACCTTGGCTGAAGATTATCCCGAAAGCATATTTGACTGTTTCGACGAGATGAACAACTTTCGTGTTGAACGTTTTTCGATTCGAAGCCATCTTGAGGACTGAATCTCTCACGCAAAACAGCCGATTGGTGGCACTACCCATCAGTCACGTGTCTGGTGGGGCGCGCCATGCTTCCTGGCAGGGCTGCATTCCGATGGCTCTAACTTTTACATACGAACTCAGGATGAAAAAGTTTGTATATAAAAATCGATCGTTTCGACGAGACACACAAGTTTTTTATTGAAACGTTTTCCATCAGAGGCCAACTCTATAGAGTTTTGTGTCATTCTTTAATTTGGTGTCAACATGAGCATCCCTAAACTTGTCATAACTATTGGATAAGAGCTTCGTTTTAGACCATGTTCAGATCCATTTGGATCTCCTTAAGGAGAGCCATCTGGAGGTGACCTCCAATCAAAAGTTTGAATTAGTCTTGATATAACTTAAAGCCATTCTCTACGATTGTGCCATTTTTGAGCGTCAACACATGTTCCCCTGTTTTGCCGCAAAGCTAGCATGCCGAAAAATAACTTCTTCCATGCTGGTTCTAAGGACGATGTCAACACTCTATCGGCCATTTTACATGTGCTTAGGGCGATAAGTATTTATCGATCATTGCTTGTTTGAATCCTTGATGCAAACTTGGGTGAAAACTTCTCAACTTCTATAACAATCCGGTGATAATGTTTCATAGATATGTATCTCAAAGCCATCCTCCGTACCATATTGTTCACCCTTTCACTACTAGGAAAAAGCCTATACACAAGATCTTACCAGCAGCGAGTTTTAAAATAGGGCGTTGCTGCAATTTATCAGTAGCACGCTCGACAAGAACACGCTGCTGAAAGGAAAGTAGCAGTAGCGCGGCTCCTCTAAGACACGCTACTGCTATAATTCCAATGACCCCGCCATGGAGCTAGTTATAGTAGTAGCGCGTTAAATAGAAGGACACTACTGCTAGGTAGTTTAGCAGTAGCGCCTTTACGTACACCGCGCTACTGCTAAAACTAGCTATCTGACCACCCACTCTCCTCCCTATCCGATCCACACTCACTCGATCTCCCCCTCAACCCCCCGCGCCGGTCCTCCCCCGTCAGCCGCCGTCGCCTACCCCTCCTCCCTCTG